AGTATATTCACAATTTTTAATGTCGTTGAATTCTTTTGACAATTTTTTTTAAATCTGATTGGTGGAGGAAAAACGGTGCTACTAACGACACCGTTACTTCCGAATTGCAGAATGGCATCGTAATGGACACGTATCCACCTTGCAAGGTGGACACAAGTCCATGACATAACAATTAATGGTACACAGCAAAATTTGTCCGAGCAATTATATCGTGGACCATGGTCCACAAAGCTTTGTCGGTCATGGTCCAAAAACGGCGCCATTTCTTTAAGTAAAGAAACGGTTGCCATTACATCTTAACGGAACATGTATTTCTGGTGTGTTAATTACAAAATGAAACTACAGTGTATTTAAAACGGTGCTACTAACGACACCGTTACTTCCGAATTGCAGAATGGCATCGTAATGGACACGTGTCCACCTTGCAAGGTGGACACAGGTCCATGACATAACAATTAATGGTACACAGCAAAATTTGTCCGAGCAATTATATCGTGGACCATGGTCCACAAAGCTTTGTGGGTCATGGTCCAAAAACAACGCCATTTCTTTAAGTAAAGAAACGGTTGCCGTTACATCTTAATGGAACATGTATTTCTGGTGTGTTAATTACAAAATGAAACTACAGTGTATTTAAAATGAAATTGTCTCCCATATTATTTTTATATTATCAAATGAAACTGTAATTGAATTGAAATGAAACTGTAGTTGTGTCGAAAAGAAACTGTAGTGTATATAAAATGAAACTGAATAACAGTTTCACATATTTGAGTGTTTAATGTCCAATGAAACTATAGTTATATTGAAATGAAACTGTAGTTATGTTAAATGAAACTGCAATGTATATAAAATGAAACTGAAAATGTTATACAAACAGAGATTACTTTATGCGAAACAGCGCGAATCAACTGTCGTTTCTTTTCATTAAAAGAAACGGCACTGTTTTAAAGCATAGACCACAATGATTTGTAGACTGCACACATGGTACACAACACAGTATAATTTGCCAATTTGTCCAAAGTAGGCTAGCATAGCTCATAGGACGCAAATTATGCTGTGCAACCGAATGCACCATGCGCACGGTGCATACGATGCAAAACGACGTCGTTTTGGTTAAAAAACGCGCGTCCCATTTAAAAAAGAAATCAGGTTCGATTCCCGGCAATAGCATTTTTATATATCCATAAATTCATAACTATATATCCACAAATTAATAACTATATATCCACAGTGAATGAATGAAGTAAAAATGCACAATGAATGAACTAAATATCCCAAATGAATGAACTAAATATCCACAATGATTGAACTAAATATCCACAATGAATGAACTAAATATCCAGAAATTCATAACTATATATTCATAAATTCATAACTATATATCCACAGTGAATGAATGAACTAAATATCTACAATGAATGAACTAAATATCAATAAATTCATAACTATATATCCAGAAATTCATAACTATATATCCATAATAATGTTATTACCGAGAATCGAACCTAATTTTTTTTTTTTTTAAAATGGAACGCGCGTTTTTAGTTAAAACGATGTCGTTTTGCATCGTATGCACCATGCGCATGGTGCATACGGTTGCATAGCATAACCAATCGTTATGCTGTGCATCCGTATGCACCATGCATGGTGCATACGGATGCCAAAACGACGTCGTTTTATTAAAAAACGCGCGTCTCCCCTTTTAAAAAAATTCAGGTTCGATTCCCAGTAACAACATTATATTGTTCATTCATTCTGGAATTTTAGTTCATAGATTATGGAATTATAGTTCATTGATTATGGAATTATAGTTCATTGATTATGGAATTATAGTTCATCGATTCTGAAATTTTAGTTTATAGATTATGGAATTTTAGTTCATTCATTCTGGAATTTTTAGTTCATAGATTAGATTATGGAATTATAGTTCATCGATTATGGAATTATAGTTCATCGATTATGGAATTTTAATTCATATGTTGTTGCTGGGAATCGAACCTGATTTTTTTTTTTTTTAAGGGGAGACGCGCGTTTTATTAAAACGACGTCATTTTTGCATCCGTATGCACCATGCATGGTGCGTACGGATGCACAGCATAATTTGCCTAGCATAACTATTGCTCATAGGATTGGGCGAACTCATAATTTTGGGCTCATGGGCTCAGTACGTGCATTCAAAGCTAGCGTGCATCTTTTGTCGTAGGTTATTAAAGGAAACCAAATTTAAGGGGCACTGATCTGACAACAATTATTAATTTGCACCAAAAAAAAAAAATTAATTTGTTGGTTATTGTCAAATGGGAAGCTTCTTCTTTTTTTTTTTTTTTTTTTTTCCTCTTAATTTTTGAAGGAGAAGAAAAGAGAGAGAGAGAGAGAGATGTATTTTTTTTTTTTTGGTTAAAACATTTATAATTATAAATTTATTTTAATATTGATATGTTTAATTTAAATATAATAAAAATAATAATTAAAATTATAATTTTATAATGATAATAATTAATAAATAAAGAAATTATTATTATTATTATTATACTTTTTCAATTCTAACTCACTTTCAAAATATAATATATAGAAAATAATGTTTTTTGTCCTTTAATTATTTTAAGAATAAGGGTCAAATATGTTATCGAACTGCACACAATAATGCAATTAGGCCACTGAACTTAAAAAATTTACAATTGAATCTCTAAACTAACCAATTTCATACCATTCTTCCCATTTACAGGTCACTAATAGATCACATAAAATTTAAACTATTTTTTAAAGTATAATTTTTTAAAAATAATTATTAAAAAAAAGGATTTCTAACCGGAGACAAAGAAACCTTCTTCATCTCCCTGGCCGGAGACAAAGAAATCGGCCATGGAGACGAAGAAACGGTCGGAAGTCCTTTTTTTTTTTTTTTTTTTTAAATAATCATTTTTAAAAAATTATTTTTTGGTTTTTTATTTTAATATTATTTTATTATTCTATTATTATATTTATAATATAATATAAAAGTGAGACCCATTTATAAAAGTGAGAAAGATTTGCAGGGATGTAGAATAAATAGTAGGGAATTTACAAATTTAATGATCTGAAAGTGGGACCCATTTTAGAAAGTGAGATATATTTGTTGGGATAAGGATAGCATAAAGTTGCAAACATTTATTTTAGTGACAATTATAATCAATCTCTCATATATTATCTTGCATTTATATACTTTGAATTACTGATTTAAATAAACAAATTCAACATTCAATTATCTATGCATGAACATCTCATATAATCTTGCAATGATATACTTTGAATTACTTATTTAAAAATAATCATTAGACATTATCTCATTCACGCAAATGTCCGTGGAAAACTAATATATATATATATATACCTTCTATATCATTTGTGTAATTGTTTTTGTGTAGTGACACATTTATTTATGCATATAATGCTACATTACTAAAATGCCGTCTACTCTCAATAAATTATAGGGAATTTATATTATAACTCTAGAGCAATGAATCGATGCCGACCTTAGCTCAGTTGGTAGAGCGGAGGACTGTAGTCGAAGTTGCACTGAAATCCTTAGGTCGCTGGTTCGAATCCGGCAGGTCGGAACTTTTTTATTAGCCAAAAGCGCAGAAGTGCTAATATTCAACAAAACAACGCCGTTGCCGGGGATCGAACCCGGGTCACCCGCGTGACAGGCGGGAATACTCACCACTATACTACAACGACTTCTGTTTCTTTCTTGAGAAAATATTTATTTAAATAAAAACAAAGTAAAGGAGACAACGATAAACACTTCGCCGTTGCCGGGGTTCGAACCCGGGTCACCCGGGAATACTCACCACTATACTACAACAACTTCCGGCCACAACTTGAACAATTTATTCCTAATTTAGATGAAAACTCTACGATTACAATTATTATTGTGTGTACCATGGTCCATACAAGTTCTGTGGACCATATTTTGTATACTATAAAATAATGTACATTCATTACAAAAATAATATACATTGTATTCAGGGAATGTACATTATTTTTGTACTGAGTGTACATTATATTGTATAATGTACATTCAGTATAAAAATAATGTACATTTAGTATATTAAAAGTGTGCTTTTTGTTATGGTTCACATAACACTGTGTGGACCATAATTTGCCCTACAATTAGATCCTTGACCTGCCGTTTGCGAGTTATCATCTTTATAACAAACTATATAAACTAGATTTACAAGACTATTGACATAAGCTGAAATATTTACATCTATAAATTTAATAAGAGTCAATAAAATTAGATCTATAACATTTTTTCAAAAAAATTAGATCTATAACATAAATTAAAAAAATGTAATTGTAATTATTTATTGAAATGAATGGTTCATATTATTTTTTCTATTTTAACCTTATATTTTACTTTTCTTAAATACTCTTTCATTCCGTTAGTATGAACTTTAGTAACGAAATATTTCGTTAACTATTTATTATTGCTAACTTACTCATTAATTTTTATATGGGAAGATCTTAGGCTCGAACATTATATCAATCAAAATTGATATAATTGTTAAACATATACTATGTACGGAGTATTAAAAATACAAAATAAAATTTAATATGTACTTTGGTCAATTAATTAGAATCACGAATTGTGCATTAATGAAACAATACACCTAATTTACAGTATATATTCATCATAAATGAGAAACCATACCTATTATCATTGTCTTTTTTGCGAAGGAGGATTTTGTTCTGTTTTTTAATGTGCATTGCGCCAAGGCACTACAATTACAGTGAAGCACACTCGGAGACTATATCAAATCAAAAATTCATTTATAACGAAAGTGGCAACAAGAGAAAATATAAATCACACCAATTAATCAGATTTTGTATTGCAAAAACTATGCTTAGGCATATTCCGATGCTTCTCTCTAAACTTGTTATTACACCAGATAATCCAAAAATTCAGCCGCGCTTCACTTAAAAAAAAAAAAAAAAAATGGTCGACGTGCGGCCGTGCGGGTGCATCGTGTCTACTGTTATGTCTAGGTTAACCAACTAACCTTAAACCCTCGAAACCCTGGCATTGGAGTACTCAGAGAGCGCTCCGCACACCCAAACCCACCATCCTCCCGCCCCTCTTCGGTTTCACACTTGGTTTTCTGCAGAAAAAATAAGATGAAGAATCTCAGGCTATCGAAGCTGCTCTCTTCGAAGATCCACCTACAATCGCAAGATGAAGTTTTACGGTTCGCTGCTTTCGACATGGAGCGCAACCGCCTCTTCTTCTCTTCCTCCGCGAATATCTTGTACACTACTCAACTGCCTCCTCCTCAAGTAATTCCTTTTCCATTCTTAAATTTTTTTTTTCATTCTTTTTAACACTTTTATCATCAGGTAGGTCTGTTTATTGAACAAGTAATGCATTAATACAAGGAAACTTTTCGAGATTTTGAAGCCCCTGTCGTGCTTATAGTTGAATCTGAAATATCTATTTTAAATGCTCGTTTTTGGTTTTGATGATGGCTTTAGATAAAACTATAGGGGGTGAATCCGACTTGTATGGAAAGTACTTGTATTTAATTCGTAGGTCATTGCCACAATTGAAGCATATGCTTAAGCTTATAGTTGGATTGCACATTTATGTTTATATATATTATATGCTCAACAGCCACTCTATTAATTTTGTTGTGCTTTAACAAACTCTGCTCTCTGCTCTCTGTCTAAGGTGATTGCCCCATATATTTTTTTTTTGTCTCTCAAGGGGCACTATATAGATTGACTAGAATTTGCTATGACTTTTACTTGGATGGTAAACTCCTTTTTTTTTTTTGGAGTTTCTAGCTGCTTAAGCTGCCAATTAGGCTGGTGAATGAGAAGATGAATCATGAATGAGCAATATTAAAATGGTACTTAATGAATCATAGCCAAGGGTACTGCCTTACTGCACTGACATTTTCCTTTCTTTAGTCTTGTTTATATACTGTTTTTGCTTTGTGTTTATGTGTTTTTATCATTTGCCAATAGAAGAAATCTTTTAGCTTGTTGTGAGGTGGATTTTTTCCTGTTTGATTAATTGATTGTAGGAGCATTTATGTCACATCCAGATACATCTCATACATGAATTACTAGCTATGTCTAATAATTAAAGTAAGAATATATCTACATTTGGATTAGATGAGTCTTTTAAAACTTTTCTAGAATTGCATAAGCTCTATAATGAGCTGCTTTTGCAATTGAGTTTTCTTTGATTTATCTTGTCACTCACTCACTCATTCATGATCTTCATTATTAAAGAGCTTATTGTCTTTGTGTCTGCACAATTAAGTAGCTTTAAATGGTCTAACTTACTAGAGGTCAAATTGTTTAAAAGAAGAGAATATATTTTCCCTCTCACAAGATTGTTATGACAGGATGCTGGAGCATTCAGTTCGACATCGAACCACTTCATTGATTTAGAACCTGGAGACTTCATAACTTGCATGGAATATCTTATGGAGAAAGAAGCACTTGTTTTTGGAACATCCTGTGGGCTTATATTGTTATATACTGTGGATGATAATCTGACAGAAATTGTTGGCCGAGTGGAGGGTGGTGTTAAGTGCATCTCTCCTAGTCCAGATGGAGATCTGCTTGGCATAATTACTGGTTTTGGGCAAATGCTGGTGATGACACATGATTGGGATGTGCTATATGAGATGGGGATTAATGATCTACATGAAGATATTGACACAAGTAAGGATTTCTTTTTATGCTTCTAATTTCATTAATTCTTGTCTCACAAAATTCATATCTTGCACACTTCACTTGTGCAAAGTCATTTGGTAGCTGTTTTTCTTTGAAATTTTACTTGCATATATTGTAAGAAATCCATTTGTTTCCTACCACACCCAACTCAGCTAAGCCTCAGTTCTTCCCAGTCTAGTTTGGCTTGGCTCTACAAATAATTCTTCTACATTTGCCATCTAATGTTTATTATTGTAAGGCCAAACCAATGCTTATTTGTTTGCTTTTTTTTTTCTTTTTTTTTCTTTTTTTTTTTTTGATATTTTCTTACAACGTCAAAATTGGACCTTTGTTTTCTTTTAACTTTTAATGTAGTTTATATATATATATATATATATATATATATATATATATATATATATATATATATATCACTAATTTAATTAATATTATAAATAGGTTGAGAGTATATCCTCAATAACTGAATCAAGCACATAAAATGAGACGAAGGGAATGCTAGTTTTAACTGAACTCCTTTCACTAGTACGGAGTGTAACTTTGTTTATTATATAATTATGCTTCCCATCAGAAAATCATTTATTAATATCAGTCCTTTACTTTCAGATGAACCAAGTTATTCTTCAAATTCTTTTGAAAGCACCATATCATGGCGAGGTGATGGGAAATATTTTGCCACCCTTAGCATGGCAGAAGGCTCTCCTCAGTTGGATAAGAAAATTAAAGTTTGGGAACGAGAATCAGGGAAGCAACATTCATTTTCTGAATCAAAGGCTTTCATGGGAACATCTGTTGACTGGATGCCCAGTGGAGCCAAAATTGCTGCAGTTTGTGACAGAAAGGAAGAACATAAGTGTCCATCCATTGTTTTCTTTGAGAGAAATTGTTTAGAAAGGAGCTCATTTAGTCTTAATGAAGAAATTGATGTGACTGTAGAAAATCTAAAATGGAATTCCAGTTCAGATCTTCTAGCAGCAATAGTAAGGAGTGAAAAGTATGATTCCCTCAGGATATGGTTCTTCAGCAACAACCATTGGTACTTGAAGCAAGAAATCAGATATGCCAAGGAGGATGGTGTTAAATTCATGTGGGATCCAACAAAGCCAATGCAGTTGATTTATTGGACTGTTGGTGGGCAGATCTCAACCTGCAGTTTTAACTGGGTTACAGCTGTCATGGAAAATTCTGTGGCACTTGTAGTTGATGACTGCAAGATTCTAGTAACACCCCTTTCTCTATCTCTTATTCCTCCCCCTATGTATTTGTTTAGTTTAAAATTCCCCAGTGCAGTCCAGAATATGGCATTCTGTACTAAGGGGTCCAAAAATCACCTCGCTGCATCTTTGTCTGATGGCAGTCTCTGTATTCTAGAGCTTTCAGAACTTAGTACATGGGAGGATCTAGAGGACAAAGAATTTGATGTAGAGGCAGCTTCTGTTGATATGATATGTGGTTCATATTTACATCTCGTGTGGTTGGATTCACATAAGCTCCTAACTGTTTCCCATTTAAGTCATGATCAAAGTAACCCCAAAACAAAATTTCCTGTCAAGGATGGGCTTGGTGCATATCACCTACAGGAAATGGAGTTTGTATGTTCTGAAGATCATATTCCTGGTTCAGTAACATGCTCTGGTTGGCAAGGGATGATTTCAAATCAAATTTCTCTGGAAGGTCCAGTCATAGGTCTTGTGTCTGACACAGTAAATAGTTTTTCAACATATATTCAGTTTGATGGTGGAAAAGTTGTTGAATATATTTCAAAGTCAGTTGGGGCAAGAGTTCTTCATAAACGGAATGATTTAAATTTTCAATCTTCTTGTCCGTGGATGAATCTTGCTCGTATTGGTGGCCCTTTGCCACATAAAAGTTTGCTCATTGGTCTTGATGATAATGGTCGACTACATGTTGGTGAGAAAATAGTATGCAACAACTGCAGTAGCTTTTCTTTTTACTCTAATTCTGCTGACCAAACCGTCACACATTTGATTCTCACAACAAAGCAGGATCTACTGTTTATTGTTGACATTAATGACATTGAGCAAAAAGATGTAGCAGCTGAATATGGGAACTTCCTACCCATTTCCAGTAACAGAAGAGGAGAGGATCAAAAGATATATATAAATATTTGGGAAAGAGGTGCCAAGATTGCTGGTGTCTTGCATGGAGATGAGTCTGCTATCATACTACAAACAAATAGAGGTAATGTTGAATGCATCTATCCCAGAAAACTGGTTCTTGCTTCGATTATGAACGCTTTACTCCAGCAACGTTTTAAAGATGCATTACTCATGGTAAGACGACATAGGATAGATTTTAATTTTATTGTTGATGCATGTGGGTGGCAAAGCTTTCTTCAGTCAGCTGGTGAGGTTATCAAGCAGATTAACAATTTGAGCTATATAACTGAGTTTGTTTGCTCCATAAAGAATGAAAATATCATTGATACATTATACAAAAACTATTTATTTGTCCCTAGTTTAACAAAAGCTCAAGATGTTGAATCTGGAGATGTCAAGGATTATGGTAGTAAAAACAAAGTCTCCTCTGTCCTCCTCGCTATTCGGATGGCTCTTGAGGAGCATGTAGCTGAAAGTCCTGCAAGAGAACTTTGCATTTTGACCACTCTAGCTCGAAGTGATCCCCCAGCCCTTGAAGAAGCTCTAGAGAGGGTAAAGGTCCTCCGAGAAATGGAGTTATCAGATTCAGATGATCCCAGGAGAACACACTATCCTTCTGCTGAGGAAGCTTTGAAGCATCTTTTATGGTTATCTGATACTGAGGCTGTTTTTGAGTCAGCTTTAGGTCTTTATGATTTGAATCTTGCTGCTATGGTTGCCCTTAATTCTCAAAAGGATCCAAAAGAATTTCTTCCATATCTTCAAGAATTAGAAAGCATGACAACTATCTTAATGCAGTATAGTATTGACCTTAAGCTGCAGAGGTATGAGAAAGCACTTAAGCACATTGTATTGGCAGGAGATTCTTATTTTGAGGACTGTATGAACCTGATGAAGAATAAGCCTCAACTTTTTTCCTTGGGACTTCAACTTATCACTGACTCTACTAAAAGAAGGCAAGTCTTAGAGGCTTGGGGAGACCATCTTAGTGCTATAAAATCTTTTGAGGATGCTGCTACAACTTATATGAGCTGTTCTTGTTTGGAGAAAGCATTAAAAGCTTATCGTGCTTGTGGTAATTGGTGTGGTGTTTTGACGGTAGCTGGTCTGATCAAGCTTGGAAGTGAAGAAATTTTGCAGTTGGCTCAGGATCTCTGTGAGGAACTCCAGGCACTTGGAAAGCCAGGGGATGCTGCAAAAATTGCCCTGGAGTACTGTGGAGATGTTAATACTGGTGTTAGTTTATTTGTGAGTGCAAGGGAATGGGAGGAAGCTTTGAGGATTGCTCTTCTGCACAGGAGAAATGATTTGGTCTTGGAAGTGAAAAATTCATCTGTAGAGTGTGCGAACACATTGATTTGTGAATACAATGAAGGATTGGAGAAAGTAGGAAAGTACTTGACTCGGTATCTAGCTGTAAGACAAAGAAGATTGTTACTTGCTGCAAAGCTTAAGTCAGATGAGACATCTGTGAATGAATTTGATTATGAGACAGCTTCTGAAACTAGCAGCAATTTCAGTGGAATGAGTGCCTATACCTTGGGGTATGTTTTAATATCTTTGTTATATACAAATGTCATTTTTCACATTCTTTCACACACCTTTTTCTTGTGCTAGAGCATTGGTTGTTAGTATATGGCTTCAACCTTAACCAAAAGGGTACAAAAGGTCACACTTGCATGGTCCGTACTTCATAAAAAAGTTGATTAGATATAAGAACTAAAATCCCTAATGTTGATTAAACTTTCAGAGATCCTATGTACTTCTCCAGTTTTCGAGTACTCAACACTTCAAATATTGCCTCAATACCTCAATTTACAAATTTTAATATAAAGTTGGGCATTTGTATGTAGAAATATTAAATTTGTCATGAAAATTATAGCTCCTTTGCATTAGCAGGACAAGAAAGGGATCAGCTACTTCTATTAGCGCAAGTACTGCTACAAAGGGAAGAGGGTCGAGGTCTCATCGGAAGAGTGGGAAAATACGTGCTGGCAGGTATAGATATTATGTATAACACATTATTTCCTGATAATTTAAGAATTATAGAGAAATATTTTATAGTTATTAATGGCCAAGAATTATGCTCTTCTTTTCCTTGATAATATAATTTATTTCACAACTTATTTTAGCTAATGGTCAACTGCATCATTTAACATTTGTTTTGATCAGCTTGAGTTTTTTTTTTTTTTTTTTTTTTTTTTTTTTGAAAAAGAGCTTGAGCTTCTTGAAAAAGTCTTTATTTAATTTGTAGTTTTTCAAAATGTCTCAACCTTGGAGCTTCTTGGAAAGGAGGCTTTTCCTTATTATCTGGCCTTAGAAGGTCCTTTATTTATATTGTTTAGCCTAGCTTATACTTGTCAGAGTAGATAATTCCCGGAATAAGCATGGACTTACAAGCATTTTATCTCTGAACTATTAATGAAACTCTTGGAAGTTATACCAGATTGAGAGGCTTTTGAGTAATCCTTTGGATAAACAACCTAAAGAGGGTGACAATGCGACATGATTAGATACAAAAGCAATGTGTTATAGTTTAGACAATTTACAGGATAGAACTTACAAATGATTGATTTTTTTTCTTCTTCTTTTGTTGCTAACGGCAGTCTATTCTAAATTGTGTTACCAGTCCTGGGGAGGAATTGGCTTTGGTGGAGCATTTGAAGGGGATGGGATTGGCTACTGGAGCTAGACGCGAGCTCAAATCACTCTTAATTTGCCTAGTGATGCTGCACGAAGATGCCGTGGCAAGGAAACTGCAACATGTTGCCAAAAATTTCCAACTATCACAAACAGCAGCCGTCAGATTAGCTGAGGATCTCATGCCCACTGATAAAATTGACGAGCAAACATATAATTTAGAACAGTACGTTCTGAGAGTCAGGGAGGAAATACAGGATTCAGAGGTGTTCTCTTGGCAGTTGAAAGTGTTGGTTTGAGATTATAGCGTAAACTATAATTTGAACTGAGAAGTTTATTAGGGTTATCTATGTTTTGCTTCATAAATGCCCATTATCTGGATAATGATAGGGGGGCATTAGGATGAATCCAATCTTAACTATCATAAGACTAGCTGTTGTAGTATTATAGGAGTGTAAGAGTTTGAGTTTGGTATATATTATTGTTGTTTAAATTTTTTTTTTTTTTTAAATACTATTAGGGGGCGTATGGTTCAGGTTATATAAGATAATCAATGTTATATTTGTTTGGTAATATAAGATTCCCATGTTTGGTTCATATTATGTAACTTTCCCAGGGAATGTTAGATAACCTTCGCATTGAGTTTTTAGCTATTGGAAGGGAATGTGAGATACCCTCCAATTTCTTAAGTAATTTCACATTCCCTTGTCTTATTATTAATGTTGGGCTTTGTATTTTAATCAATTTATCCTATTAATTTATTTTATTACCGTTGTCTTATTTACATATCTTAGTTTTAAACCAAACACAGGAATCTAATATTTCTAATAATTTAACATTTTCAGCAATGTAACATTCTCTAAAGTAATCTAACATTCGGTGAACCAAATGTTTCCTTAGACTCTATTATAAAGTAGTATTTGTCTATAAATATTTTTTCAACCTATTAAAGCATAAAGAGTCAATACTTACTGAGGTTTAAATCTGTGACCTCTTATTTGGGAGAGCTACGGAGATTTCATTGTTTAAATATTATTTAATGTTACATTATTATGTAAAATCAAATATAAAGAGTGTATTAATCCCTTTTTGTTATTTTTAGCACTCGTTTGTTTCAAGTCTGTGTGGTCTGATCTTTAGTTTGTTGCTTACCAGTCTCTTGATCGGAGAACATTTGCAGTATGAGTACAAGTGGTTAATCTTTCCACAATCTATCTTGAAAAGTCTTACTATCTCGAGTACCAGTGGCTAATCTTTCCACGACCTACTTTGAAAAGTCGCCTCACCTCATACCTATGTGGAGTGATAGTGGCTAATTTCTTCACACAGTTGTAGTTTTTTCTTAAATTTTTTGTGGGTCTTTTTTTTTTTTTTTTTTTTTTTTTTGGGAATAGAAACTTAATGTATCAAATCAGAGTGGATACAATCAGCAAAATAAGGAGAGGGTCATCAAATACTTCATTCTAAAAAAAATTTGAGGGCCATTAATCTTTTTTTTTTTTTTTTTTTTGAAAGGAAAGGAAAGGAAAGGATATATTAAGCATCAATACAGGGCAGATGGGTAGAAAACCAGCAATAATTATACGGGGACCGCAGTCCACAAAATTTTGTGGATCATGGTCCAAAAACGACGTCATTTCTTTAAGTAATGAAACTGCAGTGTATACAAAATGAAACTGAATAACAATTTCACATATTCGAGTGTATATTGTCCAGCGAAATTGTATTTAAATCAAAATGATAATATAGTTGTGTTGAAATGAAACTGCAGTGTATACAAAATGAAACTGAATAACATAGTTACTTTTTGCGGAACGGCGTGAAACGAGTGCTGTTTTTTTTTTTTCATTAAACAAAACGATGTCGTTTTGATACCTGGACTACAATACATTGTGAACCGCAGCCCACAGTAAAATTTGCCGAAAACCATATCCTAAGACCAGACTGAAAATTAGCAGACCTAGCCAAACATGGATTTAAAAACAAACTGAATCGGCAGAGCCCCATGCCCCATTAATCTAAATATTCTCTCCTATTTGTTTAAAATATCTTGATGCTGTATCCGACCATTAAAAACCATGAAATAGTAATTGAAGTATTTACTAAATTGAATATAACGATATAGAATGAAAGATTTTTAACGGATTCACCTAAATTGGCTACTTGCACGGTTTCACCCACCCTACTTTGCTACTTGCTTTATACTTCCTCTGTTATATTTTATTTGTTCTACTTACTATTCATTGATCAAATAAATTTTTTTTTCTTTGTTTACTTTCTTTATAATTTTTTTTATTTATTTTAAAATGTATTTATTTTATTTTTAATAATACTTTTAGTGTAATTTACAAATATATAAATTTTGTATATTAATATTAAATTCAATATTATAAAAAATTGAATTAAAAATAAATTCAGTCAAGTCTCATAAACTGAACCAGACACATAAAATAGAACTTTGTTGATGCTCTCTTTTGTGGAAAGTAATGGAAATGCTTCACGGAAGGAGTATATAAATATATAATGTGGCTTTGTTTTGATATTAGACATTTGGAAGGCTAGTCTAGTACGTGAATTCAAAGCTAGCCTGCATCTTTTGTCGTGGGTTATTAAAGGAAACCAAATTTAAGGCCTAAGGGGGCACTGATCTGACAAGTGACAACATTTATTAGTGCAACTCCTACAGGGGTTCTTTGTTGGTTTCTCACAAGAAAAAAATAATTTACTGGTTTTTGTCAAATGAAAAGTTTTTGGATAAAATATTTATAATTATAAATTTATTTTAATTTTGATTACTATTATAATTATAAGTTTATAACAGTGTACTCAAGTTGAGTACACTGTTAATTATTCATAGATGCGCTATCAAATTCTTCTAGTGCACCACTTTAATTTAAAATTATAATTATATTGCAGTAGTCATCGTATCGGGATGTAGGAGCCATTGGAGTTGAATGAATCTCAGACTTTAATTTACTTCGTCTTGGCTTCTAAAGTCTGAAAACAGCAAAATCATCAGATGGATGTAGTCAGAGTCAAACAGTGCATGCCGCGCCCCTATATTGAAACTAGCCAACAATAAATTCTGCACTCAATACATCACATTTAATATATATATCCACAGTGTTAAGTATATAACCATTAATGTACAATCCAACTATCAGCTTAGGCATTTAGTTAAGATAGAGCACATACTTCGATTTGGTATCCAGACCAAAGGTTATAGATTTGAATCTCTACGTCGGTCCACATGTTGTATGCAACGCAAAGTTTAGTGGATATTGTGCACCAAGGCGCGTAATGCATTGTGCGTCGCCCCGCCCTACCCAAAACGACGTCGTTTGGTGCATTGTCCAAACAAAACAAAAAAAATCTGTTTTGAATGCACATAAACTCATAATAGAATACACATAAACCCATAACAAAATACACATAAACTCATAACATAATACACAAACTTTTAACATAATACACATAAACTCTTAAGTGAATACACATAAACTCTTAACATAAACTCATAGCACAATACACATAATGAGGTTTGGTCCGTTTGAACGGACAGAGTGACGACCGTTGCATCAATTCCCGTCAACAGCAATTGAAACGACGACGTTTTGTGCTTGAGTGCACATTATTATGCACCGTGGTGCAACGATATAAATTGTCAATTTCTAACCCTAAAAATAAAATAATTAATAAATTTTTTGAAATTTATTTTATAAGGATCACCTACCCATCGTTACTATAGAGGTATAAACCATAGTTTACATTGTAAGATACAATAAATCACTAACATAAAATATATTTTTAATATATTAAATACTGAAAGTTCATTATTTGGGATATATATTACATGCATCATATATATTCTATAAGCATATCCAACGCCTCGGAAGATAAACCACCTTTTGACATAGCTTTCACCGCTGCTTCTCCCACTTCCTCCACTCTCTTCCTCACCTCCACCCCTCTTTTCCCTTCCATCATTTCCTTCACCATCCTCTCCACCTCCTCAGCTCCTACAAACCCTCTAGAGGACCTACCCCCTCTGGGCATAACCCTAAGCCCCACCCCAATCTCCTCCGTCACAAACCTTGCATTCAGGTGCTGCTCCGCCCTAAATGGGAGTGCCAAGATCGGCACTCCGGCGCATATACTTTCCAGCACCGAGTTCCATCCGCAATGACTCAGAAACCCTCGGACGTTTTTGTGGTTTAGTATACCATTTTGGTTCACCCAATCTTTCACTAATACCCCTCGGTCTTTGACTCTTTCTTCAAACCCAGCTTCTAAGGTTTTTAAGAGCTTCGGCTTTATCACCCAAAGGAATTTGGTTTCCGACCGTTCTAACCCGACGGCTATCTCGTTTAACTGTTCCGGTGAGATTTCCGATTGAGTGCCAAAGGAAACGTACAAGACTGGTGAGTACTGGTGGTCTAGCCATTGCATGCATGGCTGGTGATGATTTTCTTCAGAGGTGGGTGCAGCTAGGCAAAGTGGTCCAACACACCAAGCTTTAGGTCCTATGTTGTTGTTCCAATACTCTAAATATCTTGTCTCTAGTTCATAAAAACTGTTGACAATTAAACCTTGGCTTTTTGCCATTGCGACACCTGCATATATGCATGTGACGAAACGATCGATGAATTGACTAAGCAAATATACATTGATGATCACATAATATATATGACAGATACGATGAATTGACTTTTATATGGTCAGACACAGGAAATGAGGAAATCATAAATATTTATGATATTATTGAGTACTTGGTTATTAAATTAGATATTTGGTAAAAGAATTTATTGTAGAAGCTAGAAAGACAGAGAAAAAAAAAAACATGCAGTGGTATTTTATTAATTTTCTCAAACTTTTGAGTGCACTTTGAAACACTATGGAGCATATCTTTGCAAAGTGCATTATATACTGTTGTTAACTGTAATTTAAAATTTGAGTTATTTATAAAAATATCACCTTACTTTTACCTACCTCAGTTCCTTGCTAGAGCCCTTAAACAGACAATTTCAAATGAACAGTTGAAATTAATTCTTAATTTTCTTTTAGAAATAAGTTGTCATGCATGTGGTCTTTTATATATATAAAATTAATGTAGTAGTCTTGTTAAATGCACTTTAAAATTTGAATTATTTATCAAAATGTTACAACGTTTTTCCTCTCAATTGTTAGATATCTAATTCCAAATTGAAGGTTGAGATTAGTTCTTAATTTTTTGTTTTCAAATATATATGAGGGTTCAAGTGAGAACACACATGCTCCCATGTAAAAATTGCTAATATTAATTTGATTCATACATCTAAGTTGATCAATAGGTTGAGAATTGCTCAAAACTTATAAGTAAGAAAAAGGTGAGGTTCTTTTTATAAATATTGAAAACTTATAAATTTTAAATAAATATAAAATTAACCCCGTGTTTTAGTCCAAAAATATTTTTTAAATTTGTTGTTTTCCTGCTTTTCTCATCTCTCATTAAACTAGTTTTCAGATTATTATTATTATTATTATTATTATTATTATTATTATTATTATTATTATTATTATTATTATTATTATTATTATTATTATTATTATTATTATTATTATTATTATTATTATTATTTACCAAATAACATTATAATATATTTAATTATATATGTATTTCCTAACTTTCAATTCAATAGAAAAAGATATAGTTTTGTACCTCCCACGAAACACCAAAAATTAAAATATTTTTTTTTAAAAAAAATTAAATGAGCCGTGAAAATTGTTTTTTAGGTTTTCAAATAAACTTTTAAGTAGGAAATTTTAATTAAGAGGTATACAACATTACTGAAATGAAAATATAATATTCTTCTTCAATTCAGAACTCATATATCTAGCTACCTTGGTAGAGTGAGAGCTGAGAGGTGAGATTGATAGTACCTTGATGGATCATGAAATCAACCTGGGGACCTGATGGCTCCAGCTCATTGAACGGCGGCTCGAAGTCGTTTCTCGTTAGCTTCAGCCCCGGAAAGCTGGGGAATGTGAACGCCTCGTCCGGCGACAAAGCCTGCGCGTGGGGCATTTCACGGCCGAGAACCTGGTACAACGTCGTAGCGAAACCGCTCATTCCGAAGAAAAAGTACCTGGGAACTCCGAGCTTCGCCGCCGTCTCTTGAGTCCATCCAAGCATAGCATCGGAGATTATGCAGCCCACGGGGTGCAAACCCTCCAGCGCCTTCTCGAAGTCGGGCTGCATGAGGGCCGTGGCTTTGGCGAACTCGTAGAAGGAGGCGATGGATGGGAGGTCGTGGGTGTTTTCCACTCCCGGAGGGACGCCGTCTATGGGTTTGTTAGGGAAGGGGAGCTCAATAATTGAAGTTGTTTTGGTGTCTTCTTTAAGGAAAGATCGGATAGATGGGGCGTTGGCCGGGGTGGTGATGACGGCGACGGAGATGCCACGGCGGCGGAGGAGGCGGGCGAGGTGGAGGAGGGGGATGGTGTGACCGTGGGCCATCAAGGGGAAGATCACAAAGCATGGGGAGGAAATGAAGCCCATAATTGGAATGATCATAAGCCGGCCTATCAATTTTGGGGGATTTTATAGTTGAGTTATACACTTATACCCACAAATAGTCACAATTTACACTTTATTTTTAAACATGTTTTATTGATTAATTTTAAGGAGTGGTGTTTTTCACTTATAATTATCTTTATGAATAAATGTATGGCACGTGATCCAAATTAGTCCTCACATTTTCTTGGGAAATAGTGTTCATATATATATATATATATATATATATATATATGTATATATATATATATGTATATATGTATATATATATATATATATATATATATATGTATATATATATATATATATATATATGTATATATATATAGACTTGCACTCGGGTGAGAACGGTTCGCCCAGGCGCGAAATAGGAATGGATTCTGTTCGTCCACGTGTCCAGATCTAATGGATGAGAAACACTGATTTTTTAAAAAAATGCGGTGGCATTTTCGTAAATAATTGAACATCGAGGTGCAAGTAAAATGTATTACAAGTGCATGTAAAATGTATTATAGGTGCAAGTAAAAATTTACACTGAGCATCAATACTTAGTTGCACTTATAGTTCTAAGTAGTTGCACTAATAGTTCTAAGTAGTTGCACACATAGGTATAAGTAGTTGCATCTAGGTGTATGAATGTTTGCGAGTGGTTTTCAGGAGTATTACTACCCGCGAACTCAGATCAATGAATGTTAACAAGGCAAAATTACATGCACTTATAGGTGAAAGTAGGTGCACATATAGTTATAAGTAGTTGCACCTATAGTTATAAATAGTTGCACAAATAGTTATAAGCACACCCAGGTGCATGAATGGTTGCAGAAAGTGAATGCTAACAAGGCAAAATTACATGCACTAATAGGTGAAAATAGGTGCACTTATAAGAGATTTTACTTGCACTTCGATGTTCAATTATTTACGAAAATGCCACCGCGTTTTTTTTTAAGTTATTAGATCTGGACACGTGTCGCGCGCTAATTCGTTCGCATTTCCTTCCTGGGCACTTATTCGCACCTGAGTGCGTCCCTATATATATATATATATATATATATATATATATATATATATATATATATATATATATATATATATATATATATATATATATATATATTAATTAGCCTAAGAAAAATTTAGTGGAAAAATATTTAACTAGCGAAAAAAATAGTACAATCATAAGCCTTCAAGGAATAATCTTCAAGATGTTAAGTCTTCCAGACATAAATACATAATCTTCAAGATCTCAAGAGTCTTCTAGACTATCTATTCAAGTACAACTAAAGGTTGTCGTCGCTCCCCCTGAAAGCGACAATCTTCCAAGCCCATGCATTGAAACATATTTTTCAAATTAAAAGCGTATGTAGGCATGGTCTTAGTGAATGAATATGTTAGATTGTCACTAGAGCGAAAAACCTATATACTAAAATTAAGAGTAAAATTTACTTTTGGTCGTATGACTATTGAGGTCTTGTCAATTGTAATTCAAGAGTTTTAAAACTATCAATTTAATACCTTATATATATTCAATTTTTCTCAATTTCTATCACTCCGGTTAAATTGCCGATTAAAACTCACCGAGAAATTTTACTTGACCACATTATGTTTAATCACAAGGGTAATTTCGTCTTCCCTCCTTCCTTCTTCCTCCTCCTCCATCTTGTATAGCATATATATATATATATATGCTCTTTTTCGCGCACAGAGGAATTGTGCAAATCAAATCTCAAAATGAGCTTGAAAAGGTTTGACTAGTGTGCACCTGAAACCTGCGTACACAAATGTAGTCCAAAACTTGACAGCCCATGCAGGCTATGTTATGCCAAAATTTTAAATATTATTCTAACTAAATTGAGTAACCTCTCAAGTTATTCTTCGAGAGAAGTAAATCTCAGTATTTCTACCACTCGGCAGAGTAACCTCTCGGGTTACTCTTCGGCCGAAGTACCTTTCAGGGAACTGGCAAGTTACTCTTTAGACCTCTTGGTTGATACCGATCGAAGAGTGTCTGAAAAATTAACCTCCTGGTCAAGTGACTTTACGGTTGCACCTCTTAGGATTACAGTTCTAGAAATATGTTAATTCTGATTAGTTTAGGAATTAATTCTTATTAATTTCAATTTATTTTTTATATATTAAATTGCTAGTTATGAGGATTACAATTTGATTTTAGATCGGATTTAAATGTCATTTTAATGATGTTATTTCTATCATCCCCTATAAATAACATGGTGTTGGGCAAATGGTTTAGAACGCTGAAAAATTATTTTTCCTACTCTAAAAACATTGTCTCTATTCTCGTGAAAAATTATGTCCATACATTCCTTATAATTTCTTGTGTTCTACTTGTTGTTCTAGTTTGCCGAGAGTAATATAGCCTAAGTACTCAATATATTATTGTAAATTCATTTTATCCTAGGAGACTTAATGTTATAAGACTGCTAACACCCTTGCGAGTTAGCGAATCAGTTTTAAGGAAAGTGTATATTACATACGACTTGAATTTCTCCTACTTTTGTATCGTTATTATTGGGATTATTATTCCTACAATTTAAATCCCTTTTATTTTATCTTTTTTAATACTACTGACTCTGTTACAATGTAGTATCTGTTTATATCTACTTTCTCAACCTACTGAAACACAAAGAGTCAAATAATGATTTTTACACAAATGGGGAACTTGATTTTTAAAAGTTTTTTTTTTTTTCTCCAGCAAGATCCAAGTTTTTTGTGGACCTCACAAGAGAGAGAAATAGCAAAACTATACTGACTTTGTGTGCATTTGGCGCACATCTGGCTGATGTGTTAATTGCACTTTAAAAAAAAAATGTTTTGCTTTTTTTTTTTTTTTTTTTTTTTCACCTCACTCCCAATTTATCTTTCCTAGTTACATCTGTAAAAACTCACAAAAAATTTGAACAAATGAGGATGCTCAAAGGGTTCAACAGTTCTTCACAAGCTACAAAGTATCTTTATTGAAGTAGATGTAGTATTAGTCTTGCGTATTAACTTTAATTTTTGATTGTGTTACATTGGGCGTTGAAACATTTTCTTTCAACATACTTGCAAACTGTTCAAAGTTGGGACCTAAATTTTTTCGAGATCAACCACTTCTTGACGAGAAAAAGTTAAATTTGTACCCAAAACTTATTGTATTAATATATATTCTTATTTTTCTCTGTTGAAGATTTTAAGTATGTTTTACCGTATCCAGCCCAATTCAACGCACTATATTTACGTGGAAGTGTCTTCTTGTGCTATAGAAATCCTCAAACACATATTTAGTATAAATTGTCGTGATAAATAAATTATTAAATAGAAGATGGTGTCTAGTTGGTTGGCTAGGCTAATGAACGAGTTGCATCTTTTTAACGTATTTATTTATGAGATCTACTTTAAGAATTTTGATCAATGAGGCGATTTTCATATAAATTTTTGCAATGCTTTTTGTAATGTAATATCATATGTGTATTTTTTTCATTTGCCATATGATTTGACAATTAACTTGACTTTTACTTGCAATTAATAACAAATAAAAAGGATTCAATTACATTTTTTTTTAATAAGTTCAAGTGTCTATGTGAAGTATTTTTAATTTTTAGTTGAATTATTTAATTGTGTATTTTTTAAAGTAATTTCTTTTTGAAACATTACTCATAATTCTTACAATTTAGTATGTGCTCTATATTTTCTCAATTCAAAAAATCAATGTTTCTATTACCGAAATTTAATCCTGTAATTACCTATTTAAATGACAATAGAGGTGTCATTACGGTTTAATTAAATTTTGTCAACCATACTAACCGTCCACCATCATAAACATTATTTAATTTGCTGATGTATGGCTGCGTGCTAATTGCCACAAGACTTTGCATGTTTCGTAGTTTGACTTTGCATGGTTCATCAAGTTTCAGCTTGTCATTTAATGTTTTGTGACTAGCAAGGGCTGGGCTACAGGTAGTTTAGTCCCAACTTTTGGAAATAGCCGCCATTATATTTTTTTTGGTAGAAAAATAGCCGCCATTATATCATCTTTTTCTTTTAACGTTTTATCTTAAGTCAAACATCATATCATCGCAAATTATACAATGAACTGGGATTTACCTTATATTATAAATTGTGGTTTAATATAATGTATTAACATATTATATACTTACAATTAAGATATTGGCCTTATTTAGTAAAATAGTTAGACTATCAGTCAATTTTAACTTATTTAATTACTATTAGTTGTTTAATTTTGTTAAACAACAATCAATATGAGTGTTTGATTAATTAGTTTTTTTATAACAATTTATAGAAAGATATAATTCACACTTGAACCTATCCATATGTGTGTGTTGGATGGGGAGGGTTCACGTGAGAACATGTTTTTATATAAAAAGTGAAGACTAATATGATTCATTTATTTGGATATATCAACACTTGAGAATTGTTGAAAAGTAAAAAGACAAAATGTAAGGTTCATTTTATAAATATTACAAACTTAAAATTTTATAATAATTATAAAATTGACTAAGGCTCCGTTTGGTTTGCGGAAAATATTTGAGGAGAAATGGAACTGAAATTCCATGGAAAAGAAATTACCGGGAAGATGAATTAAATTGTTTGGTTGGTGGAAAATAAATTACTGAGAATATCGATTCCATTGTTTGATTGAGTTTGAAATTGTAAGGAATAATGAGTATAAAGACAATTATACCCTTACATAATAATAACAACAACAATAATAATGATAATTAAGAAAAGTTGGTGAGCGCAGACTTGTCCTACTTGTTTTTCATGAAAAACAAAATATCAAGAGGGGACCATGGAAAATGTTTTTCTCATTTTTGAAGAAAATATTTTCCATGAACCAACCAAAGAAAATCTAATTTTCTTTAAATTTCAGAAAAACATTTTCCATGAACCAAACATGCCCAAAGTGTTTCGAGACAAACTTTTCAAGGTCAAAGCTTTAATTTACATCATAGCACTTGCACATGTATCTTCTCTGTCCTCAAACTTTCACCACCCCAACACTAAGCCAAAAAAAAAAAAAAAAACGTTTTAGATTGGAAAATTATAAACTAGAATAGGCCAACATAATAGATTAAAGAAAGAATAAAACCCTATACTTTAACATTATTTTAATAATACACTACTAAATCCCACGCTATTGCCATAAAAATGAATAAGCTATTCATTATTAGAAAGAATTTTCATGCCTTACAACCTCTGCTTACAAATCAATAAGGTTTCTATAAAACTAAAAAGAACCCATCCTACAATGAGGATAAAGAAATTCATATTCACACGCATATTTTAATGGGAAGAGGACAAAACATATGAAGCTCTTCCTTCAGTCCTTGCCATGAGGAACAAGTTTTCCAGCTTTTCAACTCATCACTTGATAAATGTTGCCAATTCAAGTTCTACGCCGCATTTCAATTTTCATCAGCCCCCGAAATTTTAAAAGTAGGATGACTGTTCGTGAAGCACATTTAGCTGCGCGAGTACCTTTGCTGCTAAAGACTTCAGATTGTTACTCCCCCGTTGTGTCAAGTCGACTAAAGGCATCTGTGCTAACCGTCCATACTTTTGCTTGTATTCCACCATTCGGAAAACTCTTTCCAGGGAATGCAGGACCTTTTCCTGCAACCCAGGGGAAGGGTTGCTAAGTAGTCTAATCATGGAGGGTATGGCATCTGCTTGATCAAGAGCTTTGCTACCATTTTGTAGCATTTCATCTTTAATCAAAGTCAACAGGGCGTCCAGGGAAGCTTCACAAGCTCCAGTATCTGAATCTCGAAGAACCCTTACGAGAGGCACCACTGCATTAGCCTCTAACAAGCAAAACGATGACTCAACTCCACAAATTCCTCGGTGAACAGGGCACACCTCTACTTTCGAAGGCGAGAAGCACCAAAACCCTTGTTGCTTCGTGATTGGCCGGCTAAGGACAGAAGAACTCTCGGAAAGCTGAGCAAGAGCATTAGCAGCCCGTTTTCTCGTCAGGCTTGTGCCTGAACCTAGCAACTGGACTAACTTGGGAACAATGCCAGCTTCGGCAGCTTTCCTCTGTGTTTGCAGGTTTGTTGGGTCTGTGAGACGGCACAATGCCCCAACAGCATTCTCTACTAACCGATATGCTTGGGAACTGCTATTGTTACCATCTGGAAGAAATTTGAAAAATACAGGAAGTCCTCCTGCAGCTAAAAGCCATTCAGAGACCTGGGGGGAATCGGGAAAGTTTGAGATGATACCTAATGCTGAAGCAATTTCTTCTTCATCAGGAGAAGTTGTCGTGATTCTGAGCAACGTTTCAATTGATTTTTGTTTCGTGTGCTCTCGAATAATAGCTTCATTACCATCCTCGACCAAATGATACAACAACTTCACAGCATATGCTCTTACGTTGGTGTCACCATCCTCACATAATTGAACTAGTAATTGGACATCCGGGCACTGTGAATAAAACATCATGGCACTACATAAACGACTTTTACTAGAAAGTGAAAAAACGAAAGGCCTTCTCAAAAGTGTATTACCTGGGCTATCTTGGCCTTGACACTACCTGCAGAAGGAGACTGGCACATGGCACAGAAAGTACGCAGAATACTTTCTTGTACAGTAGCTTCTACAAGCTTAATTAGGCTAAAAAGTCCCTCTATATCTTCATCACAGTCCAATAATGAAACCGGTGTTCCACTCGAACCCTGATTGGTGGTCGAGATGGCAAGATTCATGATAGTGGCTGCAACGACTTCCCCCAAGCTCTGGTGGGCATGGTGGTAAAGCATATTAAGCAACTGGCGCACTGCACCTTGTCTTATCATCTCCAAGCCATTTCTGGGTAAGCTAGAGAGATTCAAAAGGGCTTTGACAGCAGCAACTTTCATCTCAGTTTCACGATGTGATATCAACCGAAGAAGTGAATCCAATACTCCTTCCTCAAAGAGAGATGATTTATTATGATCAGTCAACTCCATCTCTCCTAAAGTTGTTGCCATTATCAATTTGATATCATCTGGTCCTGTTATTAAATGCAATTAACGAAAAAACCTTTCTGAGTATCAACCATCTCATAAATTAAAGGAAAAAAAGTTTAATTTATATATTAACCTGCAAATAGACGTTGCAACAGATACTTAAAGTAATTAGCTTTTGCCATCATGATAACATTGCCATCAGAGGATGAAAGATTCTCCAAAAGATCTGTTGCATCTTTGGCAGCTTGGATATCATCTCCCCTTGACATGGTAACTAAGAGAAGTACACAACCTTGAACCTTTCCAATTCGATCGCGAATTGACTCATTTTTTGATAGTTCGAGCAGTAACGCCACTGATGACTTCCCCTCCACAATGCGGCGTCCAAGAGAGCGGACAATAGCTTCCATTCCATTATCAACTTCAACAATTCTTTCCTGCAAAATGTTTAGCCTTCACTACACTTAAGATCACTTATTGGAGTATGGCAATAAAGGCTATTCTAACCAATCAATGCCACTAGCAATTAGATCATTTATATCTACTCGACATTGATATTTTTACTACATCTCAATTAATCTTAAATGTTAAGAGATAAATGCCAGAATACAAATTACTGGGAGGAAATATGCATTATGAGGTCTGTAGAAAATATAACACATAAGAAAATCCATATTGCTGAAGTAAAAGGGTAACTACCTTAGCATAATTATTATCCTTTGCCAAAATGTAGAGCACCTGAAGAACTAGATTTCTTATCTCTCGACTTTTTGCCCCGAGAAGCTTAATTAGACTAGATACGTATTCCTCCATTAATACCCATTCTCTATGTATTTCTCTTTGTTCACAAATATCCTTTAACTGCTCCAGACAATTAAGAACTTCTTCATCGTCATCTGACAAGAGCTTTTGTTTCAAGGAAGTAATAGTGATCATTGTATTTCTCTCCTTCCATTCCTCAATTGACTGTCGCAAAGTTTTGTTAGGCCTCAACATTGAAGTATCCAATGAATTTAATGTTATGGGGCATGAGTTTTCTTCAGTCAACCAGGTCTCTATGGCACTCCTCTCAAATGTATGTCCTGAAGGAGTCTCAACAGGATCAATCATTACTTCTCCAGTGATTGGGCAATAAAATGACTGAAGTGGTTCTAAAGGTTGGCTTCCTAAAGAATTGCGCTTTGTGAAATACTTCTTTTCCTTATCCTCCCAAGATGATGCAGCATCTGCCCTTTCCAACAGAGCAATTATCTGGTCCATTTGTAGGGCTTCGGCCTGATTTTTCCTTAGTCGTGCATTTTCTATTTCATTTCTAAATTCCTCAAATTCTTTCTTCAGTGCTGAGTGTTCACTAGGAATTCCGATTGCCTCAGCAATTGAAACTAGCAAATTGTTGGCATAGGAGCGATCAACATTCCTCTCTTCAATTCCTGCTTCAATTTTCTGCAAAATTTCTTCTTCAGTTACTGCTGCTCTAAAATCTACATCGCGCATGTTGTCAATCAGTCGGACAATCTCTTCCTTAATACCTGAAGAGATGTGAAGTGAGGTCAAAGGAATGCAACTCAATGCCCGGCTCATCTCTTTGGTGATGCCCTCTATGCGCTTAGCAATAGATCGACAATTCATCAACAGATAAAACTTGTTCTTCACGTTGCATTCTGCAATAAGTTGCTTGGCCATCCTAGTCTGCTTGCTAAGAATCTCAACAACATTTTCCAAACTTTTGGAATCGCTTGTGTTGTTCTTGTTTAACTCTTTGAGGATAGGAACAATTCTATCCAAGTACAACGAAAGCTCATCCAAACTGCTCTTACCCACAATGACGTTCTTGGATGTACACACTACTTCAAGCATGCTCTCTATGGTCTGAGAGAGAAGATCTGGACCAAATGATGAATTGGTAATCACATCCAACACCATCCTGGTGCCAACTAAATCCCTTGCAAACAAGCATTCAGATTAATCCCATCCCAAGCCACCATTTCACAAGTCTAAACCAATTTGCTTGATAAAACTAAAATTTCATCAGAAAAGGGGGCTTCTGCATCTAATCATCAGGAAACCTACATAATTTTCATAAAGAATCACAGTAAGAAGATTGAATTGAATTTATTGTTAGATACTAACCCATGAAAGAAAGGAAACCACAATGGGAAATTTTCATAAATGGGTATTTCCATATGCTAAAGCCCCAAAGCTGCAAGAATATCGATAATGCAAAAGTTCAATTCAAGAAATTATCATTTTTCCTTGGAAACCAAACATAGGCCAAAAAATGACTACTACCATTAACAAATGCACTTGGATTTGTTGAAACCATTAATAAAACCAAGCTTAAACTATGTGTAAGCAAAGAAAAGCAATTCATCTATACAATCTCCAGTGAGAAAGTGCAACCCCGGCAAAAAATTTACCAAATAATCAACGTTAGTGGTGAACATCACTACATCAGTCCATTCAGTCGGTTATGGTCAATAAGCAACCTATAGCCAAATAATTGACACCTATCTTTTCACCTCAATGAAAAGAAAAGTAATGGTCTGAGAAAAAAAAAAAAGAGCCAACAGCTTTTAAGTTTTCTCTCAAATTTAGGTATCAAATCTACTGCTAGAGTGATTTTAATAACAAGCATAATCTCTTTAATACAATATATGCAACCAATAAAGTCACATAATACAAATAGATTCTTGGTACAAAAACATCTGCCCCCTCAAATGTCATCCACCCAGCATTTTGCGGAGCATAACACCAAAAAGAAAAGCATTAGTTTAGCTGATAAATAAATAACTAAAGACAGAACAGTGTGAACAGATCAAGAGAACAATACCTCAGAATAGTCTCCAACATAAAGATTTTATTCCATTTTGAGTTCCAGTTTATTTTCCAGTGTACTGATTGGGAATTCCATCATTGTCTTTCCTACAGATAAAACATTATACCTCTGAATCAGCAAATAATTGAGATAAATCAGCATTTTGAGATAGTGTAATAAAGTGTTATTGAACTCCAATTAGAATTATTTACATGTGGGAAGAATAGGCATAGCAATTCATGTTGACAACATGAACACGATAAGCGTAAATATAGATACAACCCATTAAAATTAATGGGTTAGAATTCTAAATGCGAACATGTTTTTTAAATAGGTTGACACAATAAACCCATTTAGTTAACAGGTCCGAGTACACACACATGATAAAGAAAAAATTGTTTTTTTCAAAAAATAAAATTTTGAAAAACATAAAATATCTACAATTCAATATCAAATATTCAATTTATACATGCCATAATATTTTTAAAATGATAAATAGCATCCACAAACCATAATCTATGTGCAAATACAAGTTATGTCCTTTATTTTTGTCCCTTTTATTTTGCTAAGAGAGTTGTACTTTTTCCAAATAGTACATTGAACTTTTTCTGAACAAAAATACCCTCTTACCATTATAACATTTTTAACTAATATTGCAAGAGGAAATAAAAAAGGCAAAAATATAAATTTGACCCCTTATATTTTTGTTGTACAATCAAAATGTCATATAATATTTGTTGGTCAATATTAAAAGTCTATTTTATGCAAATTTTATTCAATTTGTTCAATTCTTAGAAATATATTTATACTTATGTGGAAAAATGTGATACTATATTTATACTTATGTGAGAAAGTGTAATACTTATGTGGAAAAATGTGATACTTTTTTTATGGAAAATATAATACTTTAAATCAAAATGTAATATTATGGGTTGAAGAGTTACTTATGAGAAAAATTGGAATACTTATGATGGAAAGTGTAATACTTTTGAAAAATCCAACCCGTTTACTTGCACTATTAAGTAAAAACGGTTGCACTGTTAAGTAATTTTACTTGCATTTTTTACTTACTCATTTACACCAATTACTTGCACTTTTAACCCATGTTACTTCACCAAAGTTCGAGTTATTTACAAAAATGTGATAGCGGTTTTTTAAAAAAAAATTACATCTAATCTGTTAAATCTGGACATGTGGATGGTTGTCATTGGTTCTTAGTTCTTTCCTGGGTATATATATATATATATATATATATATAGAGAGAGAGAGAGAGAGAAGAGGGGGGGGGGGGGGGGGGGGGGGGGGGTGAGCTGCTACCTGTGCAAAATGACCAAAGGATTCTAATAACTAGAAAATCTCCGTACATAAAAGATTTGGAATTGCAGGTGATCAAACCCCTTTCTGAACAATATATATAGTGAAATCATGGTAATTATGCTGTTGAAACTTTTTACGTCCGTATTCATAGTCATAAAGAAAAGAAAATATATTTTTTCCTCTTCTTTCTTTCCCTTTCAGTTTATGTATTTTTCTTACAAATTATGAACTACAATTACTACCCACTGTTATATAACAATTGTAATAGTAATATTAAGCAACATTTTATTTTACTTAGTAGATTAAATCCTTTGATTCTAGCATACAAATTAGAAAAGACGATGAAGATTTTAGAATGAGTAGAGTCCCAAAGACCTTATTGCTGTCAACAGTAGTAAGACTTGAGCAAAACAGAAGGAAAAAAAAAAAGTCAAGCACAAATCAATTTTACTAGCAGCGAAATGAAATTAATTTTCAAGCGCAAATACTTGCAGCACCTCAGAGAGTAAAATAAAAAGAAAATTTACAGAAACCTAGCATCAATCTCAACAAAAATACAGAGAACAAGGAGAAAAGAGATATTACCTCCGGAGATTTGTGTTGCAAGTTGCGAGGTTGTTGCAGCGGCGGAAGCGCGGAACGGTGATGTCGATGGGGAGCTGAGGAGACTGTCAGACTGATTTCAATGGCGAGATAATGGCGCGGCCATTGCAAGTCGAGGCGAGAGCAGGACAGGAGAGAAGACCATGGACATAGCTAAGTCAAATGGGTATTATGGAAAATGGAAGAAGAATTGTGTTGAAGAGCCGGTTATCCGTATTTGGTAGTACAAAATATGAATCAACGGTTAAAATTTGTATTTAAATTGTGATTTGTATTAATATAAAATTGGTTAACAATTTGTATTTCTTTATTCTAAACATCAATTTTGATCGAGTCAAAATAAAATCGAGTTTTTTTAAGTGGGATGAAGAAATTGATATATTGTATATTCAAAAGGAAAAATAGGTGAATGAGTAATGGATTTTTAAAGTGCTCATTTGAATCGAAACAATGAAGATGGGAAGGCTTGAAAGAAGTCTTTGTCTCACATTAAAATTAGAAAGTGAGTTTATTTGTCATTTAAATGTTATAATTTTATGATCTTCTATATATACCTTAGTCTTTGGATTGATTTTAAGCTTTCGAAAATTTTATTTTTTACTCTTATGTCCTATGCAGTCATTCTCTCTCAAAACTTCTGCTCAGGCCACATAAACTCCTGTCGCTTGTTCATGTTTCCTGAGGCATGAAGGTAATATAGCTTGAGCGGTTGAACTATATTACCGTAATCCATTTTATCATAGGATAATGACGTTACAATGTTTCTAGTATTCATGTGAGGCAGCGAATCAGTTTTAGGTAGAGTGTATTTATACACAATTTAAATTTTCCTTAATTTCGTACCTTTTGATCTTGGAATTATTTTTGCAGAAATTATAAATCCTGCTAGTTTATATTTTTATATATTGAAAAAAAATCAACTTATCCTCATTACAATACATAATCTACAACATATTAACTCTATATCTTTATTTTAATTGCATCGTAGCTAGTTGCACAACAAAAACGACAATAACCACAACGATAATGATGATGATTGTTAAAATTAAATTATTCTAAAATTTATGTTTAAAAGATAAAATACTATAAAAGTAATTAAATTAATAAAACAATATATTCATTATCTTATATGTTCTTTTACATCTTATAATACTCAAATTTATAAAAGTACAATTAGATCTTTTTAACAGAACCTATTAAAAAGTTTTAAAGTTTCATCTATATATAATTTTTAAGTCTAACATGACATCCATGTTTCAAACCAATCTTTAAATTTGAAGGGACAAAAAAACACACACACGACATTTGAAGAGGATCATATAATGGTTGCCTACCTTAATTTTTTTAATCTAAATTGTTTATAAATTCAAAAAAAATTCCTTGTTAGCTCCATGTAATGTGTCAAGTACAATTATGGTTTAATCCAAATTTAACATGCTAAAAAGACTTAATTGCACTTTTATTTTACATGTTTGAGTATTAATTAAAACGTTTTGGAGTTAAGGGCTTAATTATTATTTATGTATTAGTTGAACGCAAAAAAAAAAAAAAAAAAAAAAAAGTGTGTGACGGTTTCATGAATCATTGTCTGTTGTAAGATATATAGGTTGAGTTGTATATAATTGGTGTGTAAGTATTATAATTTCAGTTATAAGTATTACTCGTACAATATTTATCATTAGTAACAATCAATTTTATCATAATACTATCACAATTTTACATATGAGTATTACAATATCTATTATAAGTAACAATTTATTTTTAATTCAAATTGGCATTAAATTGTCTACAATAAATATTACAATTTCTTTCATAAGTAACATTTCATATATAGGTATTACAATATTTACATTAGAATTACACTTTGTAAGTATTAAAATTTCAGTTATAAGTATTACAAAATTTATTATTAGTAACAATTATTTTACCCTAAATAGTATCACAATTTCAAATATAAATATGGGGAAATCACTATTTTGATCCCTCAATTATTTCCCAATTGTCAATGTAGTCCATAGTTTTCAATTTCAACCAATTTGATTCTCGAATTGTTTACAATTTCATTAATTAATTCCTTTTAGGGACTAAATTGACGAAATTTTAAAAATACCGAAATCACCATTTTGGTCCCTGGAAAGGTTTAATTGACGAAATTTTAAACAATTCGATGATCAAATTGGTTAAAATTGAAAACTAAGAACAACATTGACAGTTGGGAAACAATTAAGGAACCAAAATGGTGATTAACTTTATAAATATTACAATATTTATTATAACAATTTATTTATTTCAAATTGGTATTAAATTTCCTGTAATAAGATTATGATTTCTATCATAGATTCGACTCGTCTCACGGATTAAGATTTGTGAGGCGGCCTCACACAAGTATGACTCTTAGTTGAATGCTTTATTTGACCATTATATAAAGGACTAGTCTCTTGTGAGACAAGTCGGATCTAATAAAAATTGATTGTCCCATTTTATCTGTCTTACTTACTATTCATTGGTCAAACTAATTCTTTTTTTCTTTGTTTATTTCTATTAGTATTTTCTTATAAATTTAAAATTCTGATTTTTTTGTATTTAATAGTACTTTTAATGTAGTTTATAAATATAAGAATTTTACATATTAATTATGAACTTAATATTATGAAAAATTAAATTATAAATAACTTCAGTCAAGTCTCGCAAACCGAACTCGACATATAAAATGGGACAAAAAGAGTACTTTATAGCCAAATTGTAATAGTCACTTTGCAAAATATAATATTATTAAACCCATATACAATAAAATCCAAAAAATTGTCATAAACGGACCATCTCACATATTAAACCCTGTGAGACCTTCTCAAAGGAAAATTTACCTTATATAAAAAATTAAATATTTATTTGACTATTATCTCAAAATTTAATAGATCATCTAATACTCTTTAAGCAAGTACTCTATAATAATATTTTTAAAACAATTTTTTTGATTCAATCATTATTTCAATGAAAAATAATAATATTTCTTTATTTTAACACTTTGCGCAAACTCAAACTTCATTTAACATTTTAGACCGACCCAAATTTAATTGACATTCAGACAATATTGAAAAGGTCAACAACTCAAAATAGGCGTATGTAAGACTTCAATAAAGCGTCAAGTCAAGAACTCCGAGTAAGAACTCCAATACTCGGTTTAGTTGATAACTTTAAAAAATGTCAACCATCTTATTTTGAGTTAATAACCATTTTGGTCCCCAATTATTTTATAATTGTCAATATAGTCTCTAGTTTTCAATTTCAACTAATTTATTTTTCAAATTATTTAAAATTTTGTCAATTAAATCCTTCTAGGGGCCAAATTGACAAAATTTTAAAAATGTAAAATTCACCATTTGAGTCTTTGAACGGGTTAAATTGATGAAATTTTAAACAATTCGAATATCAAATTAGTAGAAATTAAAAACTAGGGACTACATTGACAATTGAAAAATAATTAAGAGACCAAAATAGTAATTTCCCCATCTTATTTTTATATACATTGGTAGGGAATATCCCGACCGACATAGCTTCACCACGACCGAGAAGCCTTTGTCCTTTTTCTCCTTGTCTTTGCAGGTAACAGGTCGGGCTCCACGAGAAGAACTCGGTCGTAGACCGACCGGGAGTTGCCCGAGCGACGGTGTCGACCACCGAGCGGTAGCCCTTTGGCGAAAGAGCTGACGACGGACACGTGGCGGCTCTTTACATCGACAGGCAGGGCACCCGGGAGGATGACACGTGGTGGCTACGTGGAGGACATGCCGAACGACTGGAATCCTGTCCCCGGCATAGCGGCTATAAATACCCACAGTAGCTACAGTGTGAGGGACTTTTGGACGATCGATAGGTTGTTGTTAGAGAATCCCGACCGCACTCAGTCGGTACTCAGAGCAGCCAAGTAGATTGTACTTAGGGCCTTTACCGTGATCAATAAAGATTTTACTTGCTTTAATTGGTCTCGTGATATTTTATATTGCTTACGTAGAATTAGCAGTATCATTTTGGCGCCGTCTATGGGGACCCGTACGAGAAACCAACGTCTTGACGAGCACCCGATCACCATACCAACATGTATCCGTGGGCACACAACAACTTCGCCGACGACCAGGCGGATGCGGTGAGCTCCTCCGACCACTATGCTACCCAACAGCAGGGTCAGACGATGGACCTAAACCTCAATCTCTCACCACCACATCCGTCAAATGCATACCCGGCCGCCCAGCAGCCGGTAAATTACATACAGCCGGGATACCCGACACCCGGTCTGCCATACCAGCAGCCGCCGATGATGTATCCCGCCCAGTATCCGTACCCGGTCCCACCTCCACCGTATGGGTACTGGCCAGGCCAACCAATGTGCTACACTTCCCCGGTTGGTTATCCACCATATACGCTAGCTTATACAGCTCCAGCCGCCGCCCCTCCAATACAACCGACCGCACAAGTAGAGCCGCAGCGTCAGTCCACTTCCCGGGCTCGACGCTCGGCTCATTCGCGGTTGGGGTCGGGGGGTGCTGATGGGATGGAGGCACCAGCTCAGGCCGTTCAAGCGGAGGACCCTGAAGAGGTTGCCCGAGCGGTAGCTTTCGATCGTCTCCGACCAGAGATGCGCCAGCGTCTGGGACCCCAAGACCCGAATCGCGGGCAAGAGGACGTACAAATGCAGGAAGCTAGCCACGAGGCTTCATCCGGGTATAGCGGGTCGAGATCTCACCGACGACGACGCGCTCGGGATACAGCCCAAGCCGCTCAAGCCGCCGAGCTCAACGAAACCCGAGGATTGCTCTACAACCTCCAGGCTGAAGTTGCGCAGCTCAGGAGTGCGTATCCTACAGCACCCCCGCCCGACCGATCGACCCTACACCAGACGCCTTTCACAGCAGCGGTAATGGCTCAGCCTTACCCGCTCGACTTAAAGATCTCGGGAGAGAAGAGTTACGACGGTCGGACAGATCCTGAGGCTCACGTGAATGATTTTTTCAGCAATATGATGCTGAAGGGCGTTTCAGACGCCGTGATGTGCAGGGCCTTCTACTCAACGCTCACCGGTCGGGCGGCAGAATGGTTCCGAACCCTGCAGCCGGTGTCAATCGACAAATTTGAGACCCTGGCGGTCAAGTTTGTAC